CACTTTTTATTTAAGGTCTAAATATTTGATCGACACTAAGACATTACGTGATACAGTTCGATAGCGTTCGAATAACTCGGATGCGCTTAGGGCTGTGTGGGTGCCAGTATTCCTTCATTTCTCTCTCTCTCGAATAATTGCACTCGAATTTCCTAATACCTTATTCAGGAAAGTACTTCCGCAGATTTCCCATGAGGCTTGGAAAACTGATGTGGTAAGTGTCGTTTTCCGTCTGACACCAATGAGGTGACATCACATTTATTTATATCGAACCACAAATTGAACATTGACCAGTTTGACAAAAAAAATGAATGTTACGGAACAAAATGGGAGGAGTGGTGAATACCAGAAATGGTGACATTTTCTAAATGTTGTAACACACCCAAACAAATGGTGCACGTGAAGTAAACTCGAAACTTCGGGCGGTCGATTTGGTGCAATCGATAGCGCCATGCACGACGATGCATCACCGACGTCACACCACACCCCCAGCCACATTCGAGAAGTCGCCCACACCCCAGCATGTGACACCACCGCACTCCATGTGGCTATCTGTGTCCCAAAAATTGCGCATTGCATGCGAGGCAAACCCTAACACCTGCAACAATACTGCGTGGCTGAATCCGCTGCCATTACGTCAACGATATCACGAAAGCAACACCAAGCATATGCTCTAATGAGGCATTGGTAATCCGAGGAAGGGAATAGAAGAACACCGGAAATTGTATAAAAAATAGAATGCTGTAAGAAAATCCTAGAAAACAAGCAATACATCATAGATCTAAGGAAGCCGGTCGGAAAAAAACGACTAGAGTCTCATTACTTTTGGCAAGGAACACCTTTTTGCGTGACTGCCTGAAAATTCTTAAGTGTGATTAAGTAAACACTAAGTAATTGAATAACTACAATAATAACAGCATAGACACTGTCGCCAAGTGTTAGCACTTAGTCCTTCGGTGGTGCGCAACAATAAGCACTGGATGAATTTGTCAACAGATTGGTTGGAACAAGTAGGAAAGTCGCTACATCATTGAAACTGTGGATGAACGTATATTTGAACTATGAATAGCATGAAAACAATGTCCAAATAACTGCCACGACCGACTTTCTATTAACCTCGGCATTGATCAAGTGATTTTGTTTGTATTTTTGTTGAGTAAACGCGAGGTGTTATTATTCTTTGTTCACGATTAAGCTGACGTTTCGGCGGATTTCGCCTTCTTCAGAGCCTGGAAAGGTCAAGTTGATAGCAACTCACTCGGCCAGACGCCTCCATAACCAAACAAAGAAACTCCAAACCAAGATTTCAATCACTTTGAACACAGCTTTGCACACTCACCGCTTTCTATGAGGTCTCCACTAAGTATGTCACGTAGAGACCAACCGCACAGAAATCACGTGGAAGTATAATGTCCCCCTCACATCAGAAAAGCAGTTTTATATACTGCCCTATATCACGCGTGATAATGAAGCATTCTTCCCTGCGGTTCATTTTCGGATTTCTGGAATTAATCCAGAGTGCCTCGAGAGTTTTTCGCGCCTGTGTTCTTGATTCGCGTGCGAGGATCGTGACACATACTTCGAAGTCGTCCCCGTTATGTCTCTGGGTCCTATGCGTGCCTAGCGGGGTATTTGGTCTATTTTTGCCGGCTAGGTGTTCTTTCATGCGGACACAGAGGGGTCTACCCGTTTCGCCAATGTATTCGTCACCACACGTCTTACAGGAGATCAGATAAACTATACCCGAGCTCATGCAATCACCGTCTCTACCACTGGGGCAAATTATGCAATTTTGAGTTGCACATAGACGGTCATATAGGCGGTTACGAACTAGCTGGCGCTTAAGATTACTCGGTGGTATTTCAACTACGCTCACCGAATTCTCTAAGCCCGCCCTTCTTAAGCAGCGTTTTATAGCTGTACTTATATCATTTGAGATGAAGGGTAGGATAAACGGGACCCTTCTATCGCTAGAGTTGTCATTTGGAGGCCTACGATTTCCTCTACANCCCCTCACATCAGAAAAGCAGTTTTATATACTGCCCTATATCACGCGTGATAATGAGGCATTCTTCCCTGCGGTTCATTTTCGGATTTCTGGAATTAATCCAGAGTGCCTCGAGAGTTTTTCGCGCCTGTGTTCTTGATTCGCGTGCGAGGATCGTGACACATACTTCGAAGTCGTCCCCGTTATGTCTCTGGGTCCTATGCGTGCCTAGCGGGGTATTTGGTCTATTTTTGCCGGCTAGGTGTTCTTTCATGCGGACACAGAGGGGTCTACCCGTTTCGCCAATGTATTCGTCACCACACGTCTTACAGGAGATCAGATAAACTATACCCGAGCTCATGCAATCACCGTCTCTACCACTGGGGCAAATTATGCAATTTTGAGTTGCACATAGACGGTCATATAGGCGGTTACGAACTAGCTGGCGCTTAAGATTACTCGGTGGTGTTTCAACTACGCTCACCGAATTCTCTAAGCCCGCCCTTCTTAAGCAGCGTTTTATAGCTGTACTTATATCATTTGAGATGAAGGGTAGGATAAACGGGACCCTTCTATCGCTAGAGTTGTCATTTGGAGGCCTACGATTTCCTCTACATCTATTCTGAGCTACAGTTTCGTAGCCATTAGAAATGGCTATTTGCTGTGCCAAGTTCCGGAACTCCTCTCTCTGCTCTCTTCCCGTGCACATGTTGGTTGCCGTTCGAAACATGTTTCTTATAAGCGCCCTTTTCGTGTGAGAGGGGTGAGAGGAGAGGTAATGAACCAAGATATTTTTACTACTTGGCTTTCGGTACCACTTTGTAATGTAGCCATTTTCTGATAGGTGAATTTGTAACACCTCGCGTTTGCTCAACAAAAATACAAACAATGTCCAAATAAGGTTCAAAAGAAAACATATCTTGAGTGACCAGAAATGAATTTTACCAGAAATAATCTAGCTCTATGCTTAGTTCTACGTATTATTAGGCTGTTCAGAAATAAATAAGCGTTCTTAGCTACTTAAAATGTCATAGCCTGCTTCGAACAGAACTCTATTCATTAAAATAAAAAGCATTTGAATCTACACATGTTTGTCAACCAGAAACAAGTTTACTTATTGCAGTTGCATAAAATTCTGGAGTTCCGGAAGCGATGAATTCGTTGAAAGCACTTTTTGCGTTATAGTGGTTGGTGTAGCATTTTTGGCGCAGGAAGTTGTCAAGATGCTTGAAGAAGTGATAGTCTGATGAATATTACGGATGAGGCAAAGTTTCCTAGCAGCCCAACTCGTTCAACTTCTGCAACGTTGGTTCCACAACGTGAGGCTGGTTTTTTGTTTTTTTTTTTTATTGGAGAAGGACGGGTCCCTTCCTGTTGACCAATGCTGGTCGTTGTTGTTGCAGTTTACGGTGCATTTCGTCGATTTGTTTGCAGTACTTCTCTTTCGTAATCGTTTCGCCCGGATTCAAAAAGCTGTGATGAATCAGCCTGGCTGCAGACCACCAAACAATCACCATAACTACTATAATGCTGAAATATTTGCAAAACTGCGGACCGCCGGTGTTTGCGGTGGTGAATGAACGTGCCGTTGTCCTTTCCGGGGAGTGACGCGTTCACCACCACACCATCCGGGTCCTTCGTTTTGCCGTTCAATTCAGTTGACGGGTGATTTCTGATGGTAAAAGATCGATAGAACTAGCTGAGAGACAGGCGGAATTGAACGACGAGACGAAGGACCCGCATGGTGTGGTGCTGAATGCGTTACTGCCTGGAAAGGACAATAGCGCGTTCGTTCCACACCACAGACACCTGCGGCCCGGAGTTTTGCAAATATCTCAGCATTATAATAGTTATATTTCGCAAAATACCTTGCCGTTAAAAAGAATAGGCAGTAAATAAAAGGTTAGGTTTATAAAGACGTGATTAGAAAAAGCATAAAATCAGGCATACGCTTACTTCCATACAACAACACACTTAAAACACAACCGTAACCGACGTTTCGGCAGTATCGCCTTCTTCAGAACCGTTTTTACGTGCCTTCCACTGAGGCTGAGCCGCTGATCAGAGTCGCATGTGGTTGACGACTCATGAATCGACGCATAAAATCGGCTTTCTAATGTATTGCAAGGTACAAGGAATATTTTACTGGTAAAAAATAGATTGAAACAAGGAATATTTTAAAACGCTCATTTATTTCTGAGAAACCTAATAACAGGCACGGAACCTCACTGGAGTATGCGATTCCTTAATCTTCCTTTCACCTCAAATTTAGTGCTTCATCGAAGTACACCTAAATAATCCCAGATAAGCTTGTCATAGACATGTAATAAAGCATTTTAAGATGGCTGGAACTTCAATGTTTCACCTACAGGTTATTTAGATGACATTAAGGCACGTGTTAGTGTTAAGGCAAGGCATTAAGGCATGCTTACAATTGTCGTGCAGTACACATGTCGCCTATTTTTCGATTCCGCGCCCAGGCTTATAAAGCATTTCGTCTCGCAGTGGTCAGCATATTGGTATCATACTTGCCAAACAAGATAGCAGTACTGACTTGATACAGCGATAGGAAACCGCAGGCCATTGCATACTCCGGATATGCACTGTCATCTCCAGCGATATTTGGTGAAGTCGAAATAATGGCACACCCTCAGAAATTGATCAACGTCGAAAGCTTTATCGTCGTCCATTAAATCATGTCAACACGGACTACTATGCTTTTAAACCGCCGCAATAATTAGTGAAGATGACGGCAAGCCTTATACAGCGAAGACTCGTTTTTAACGTTCAAATTTTTATACTGAACCCTATCTTTCGTCGACGATTTCCAGTTTTTCTCTAGATTTGAATCTTTTTTTCATTCTTTTCAATCAATTCTTTTTTTTTCAATTTTGAATTTGGAACGCATTCTTCTCTACGCTTTAAGAAAATTCAGTGATTTCAGCGCAAAGACTTAAGCGATTAAGTAAAGCACGACAACACTTTGTACTTATAGTGTACGCTCACTTGCATCTCAGTCCTCGATGGAAGACTTGAGCAGGCAAGAAGGATACGGTACGACGTCGTCAGACTGACTGAGACGAGAAGACGGCACCCGTTCAATGCCGTCGATGACATCGGAGAGGAACTGTTGATCGAAACATGTGACAACAGTAGAGTCGGAGGCGGCGACGGCGTTCTCGTCAACACGTTTGGCCATGAACATCGATTTGTTCGAACCATTAGTAACCCGAATCGAACCTTTATGATTGGGGAGATGTGGATCAATACCGGTTTTGAGAATCTTCGTCATCTACGTGTGACATCAAGTCGAGGCGCTGTATATGCAGACGTAAATTTTACAGAAAACGCCATCCATTTTTAAGACCGTCATTGGAATTCAAAAACCCAAGTACCAGAACCACCATAAACGGGGACTTATTCAACTCATTCGTCGGCTTTTGGGAATATGCCATTGTCGAAAACATCGATGAGGCATACGATCGGTTCATTCAACATCTTCACGTTAGCGCTATGAACGCTGAGAGTTCGAAAGTCACCAAGAGACGTCTGTCTCCAGAAACACTCGAGCTCATACGCCAGCGCAATCGCACGAGCTGCAGTCAACCGCGAACTAACGTCCCAACTTTCACAACAGTGCAGACAGGAGATAAAAGAAGATCTTAAAGAGAGAAGAGCAGCAGTAATGGTTGAAGCTGCAAAGGCTGGGAAAAGCATTCGCAAAGCCCACCGATGCTTCGCCAATTACAAGACCAAGATGATTGCACTCCGACACCCAGACAGAATAGTTACAGCTTCCAAAAAGACAATGGAGAAAATCGTTCGCGATTACTACTCGGATCTCTTCAGTAGCCACGTCTTCCTACCCTCATATGAAACAGAAAAGGATGGATATGTCGTAGCACCGGTTCTCCTTTCCCAAATTCGACATGCTATTCCTTCTGAGAAAAGTAGCACAATTCCTGGCCTGGAGAGGATGACCTAAACACCTGAAGAACCTTCCACCAGTAGTCGAAGACACATTGGCTCAATCCTTCACACGTTACCTGTCAGAGTTTATGGTTTCTACTCTATGGAAAACCAACAATACTGCGTCAGTGTCCAGAACAGGTCACTTCCATGAACTCAGCAACTGTCTCTAACCTGTCTACTGCCTGTCGTCTATAAAATCTTCACCCTAGTCATCCTTAGCAGGACGGACACTGAACGAAGAGCAGCTATGTAAGTTGCAAAGTTTCGAAAAGGATTCACCACGATGTACCACATCCACACGATAGATAACATGAGCCACTACAATCACGAAATAATGCTGTTATTCCGTCTCTGTATCATTTTCATCGATTTAAAAAAAGCTTCTGACTCAGTTGAGATATAAGCGGTCACGAAATTCCTGTAGAGCCAGGGCCTCTCTGCGCAGTACACCAAGATCTTTCCTAAGATATATAAAAATTTCATTACAGAAATATCACCGGTTTACAACTATACCAACATCGACGTACAAAGACCTGTTAAACAAGGAGATATCATCTCATTAAAAATATTTACTGCCAGCGTTGAGAACGTCATAGGAACATTGAAATGGGTCAACATGGGAGTGGAAATCAGTGGTCGGTAATTACACCATCTTCGCTTTGCTGATGACATCCTTCTTATAACAACATGCGCTAGTTAGGCGGAACAAATACTTGCTGACTTTGATGACGCCTGTGGGGAGATCGATCGTCGACTAAATTTCACAAAATCAATGTTCATGAGGAACGGATTGGTTTTGTATGCCCCATTCATGACCAACAGAACGAATGTCTCCGAATGTTCCAGCTACATTTATCTAGGTCCAGAAGTCAATATGATGAACGGTTTAGCTCCATATTTGAGCAGGAGGAAGCGAGCGGCTTGGGAAGCTTCCAAGAGCACCGAGGATGTAGTGGATGTAGTGAGGAGAAGAAAGAACGGCCAACTCCGTACTCATCTTTTCGACTCCACGATGTTTCTTGCTTTGACGTATGCGTGAGAATCCTCGTCACTACTTAAACAGAATGACTGACGACTAAATGTTATAGAACGAGCATTGGAAATGACGATGCTAAGTGTATCCTATATCATGCAAATGAGAGAGAGAGATAAGAAGCTTCGATCAACTTCACCGATCAAAAGTCAGAGACACCATTCTACACGCTCGTTAGAGAGCGAATTCCTCGTAATGTGTCAAACACAAAGCGGAAATACCACCTGCCCAATGGTCAGGAATCCCCACGACCGACTTTCTATTAACAGCGGAATTGGTCGAATAATTCTTTATTCTCTTGACGAGCAAACACGAGAATAGGCTCTGAAGACGGCGAAATCCGCCGAAACACCACCCTGTTGATAAGGAATAAAATAACAGTATCGTGCTTTCTCATGAACCGAACAGTGAATTATCTAATGCTTAGTGTTCTTCATGAAAACCCCAAAAGGAAGATTATATTCTCAACGTCTCCCTGGAGTAAGCAGAACTCACTGCGCTACTCTTGCACTCGAGAGGGAGAAATTGAAGATTTGATGGTGCACGCCCGAGTCCCTCAACGATACTTGTGGTGAACTTGCGACAACGTAAGATAACAGTGTTATTTATATCATCCATTAGCCAATGAATGAAGCTGTTTAACAGAAATTTTGTGAAAACCCTAATTACTCAGTAAAGAACTGAAGTTATGCAATGAGGCAATTTCCATCACATGACGTGAATTCTTGGTGATCGATTAAGTTTTGTTTTAGCATAAAAATCCTCTAGGCGAGTATAGGACAATCTTCACTACATGGTCCACATATCTGAGCCATAAATTTGAGCTAAAGGAGAGTGTTTGAAGTTTGCGATGGCATACGAGAAGAACTCCTTGTACATTCAATACATATCGATCCACAAACAGCACAGATTGCTCACAATCGCCACGACTTAGGTACAAGCACGAAAGTACAACGCATAGCATTGGCCTGTTAGCCACTGTCAACAAAAAAAAGCAGTAGACACTACATTCAGTGTCATTGTGACCATTCATAGAGATAAATCATGAAAACTCGTGAACTCGAAACAGTCGTTTGTTAAGGCAGTAGAATTCAGCAATGCAGTTTAACGCGGAAACCAACGATTTTCATAGCTATTCTAGAAAAGCTATCTAGTAGGAAGTGATATTTAGCACTGCATAGAGGGTTTCACACATCCGCAGTACTAAAAGCGAACCAAATGAGCAGTGAAAGTGCTGTTACATAAAGTAAGTGCACGTTATTTCTACAAAACATCTAAAACATGAACACATTAAAGACCAAGTCTTCAAAAAACCAGAAGTGATCTGGGCGTGTAAAATTCAGGGTTATTGTGGAAGCCGTAAACAAAACGATGCAGTCAGGGATACTGTCACGTTCTGCTTCATAAGATCTCGTATCCGTGAAGACAGGCAAAAAAGAAATCGTAAGACGGATCTTCTTCACAGGACGATGGTAATGATGAATTGGATTATGACGAGCACATCGATGCTGGATCGGGCTCGCCTTCAAATAAATAGCTTTCTTGAAGAGTTAAAAAGCTATCCATGTGTGTTCCTCGCTAAAAACAGCAAACGCAAAAAACATCGCTTTCGTAATCCCGAAAGATCTCTCAATATGGTAGCGTTATGTAGAACGAGTATAGAAAAGCTGTGAAATTAAGATTAATTTTTACGAAAACAAGTTTAAAAAAAATGGTGCAGCGACTTCAACGCCAAGGGAAGAACGTCTTAAGAATTCTACATCGGGAACCACGGAATTGAATGAACAGGGTGAAAGTGCGTACGACTTCATTATAATGACCAAGACGTGAAGGTAAATCAAAATTAGTGAAGTCTCCCAACTCAAAGTTCGTAGTGTGACCATAAGGATGCTGAGCTATGAGCAAAAGCCACAAACTCAGCTGGGTTTCGAACCCGCGATTATCCTTGCCGTGAGATCATGTGTTAACCAGCACTCTAACTGAGGCCCTACCTTTGACTTTTACTCGGGCAGCACAAATCGGGTAGTTCTCCTATAGGAAGCCGAAAGTTCTGCCTAACCGATTTCGCCGTTAAAACTGCAAATTTCCACACTGGTTCGCACTTCTATCTCCTCGGTACAAATATATTCTCGTATAAAGAAGAGGAACTCCACAAACTCAGCACAAAGATACGACCTACTCATTCAATACTTCTACAGCAGCGTCAAAAAAATCAAAATTTTCAGAATCACTTAGAGACTCGTTCCTCCAAAAATGTTGGCGTTGATGCGTCCACGCGATATTGCACGAATGTCATGCAACCACCAACTTATTTCCAAACTTTGAAAAAAACTGAGAAAGAATAGATCATCTGAAGGAGAGAAGAGCAGCAGTACTCACTGAAGCCACAGAAACTAGAAACACGGTCCATAACAACTGCAAGGACATCGTCCGTCACAAACGTCAACGTAGCCGTATTCCGGTGCACAGACGGAACAGTTACTACCAAGATTGCAATGCAAAAATCACCAGCGAATTCTATTGAGACTCAAAGAACTGTTGAAAAATCATTCATTAGAAATCGTTCCGTCTAATTTTTATCGACATAAAACAGACCGACTCAGTTTAGATAGAAGAGACCATGAAGTTCTGTAGGCATAACCAACTCTACTCAGTAAACGAAAATTATTCATGAGCTATCTAACGAATCGACGACCAAAATCTCGTATTCTACAATGACATTAACATTAACATAAATAGAGGGCTTCAATCAAGCGACACAATTTCGCTAACACTGTTTACAGCCATCGTCTACGTCAACTTTACAAGCAGAACTTTAACGATGCTGAGATATTTGCAAAACTCCGGACCGCAGGTGTCTGCGGTGGGAAACGAACGCGCTATTGACCTTTCCGGGGAGTCACGCGTTCACCACCACACCATGCGAGTCCTTCGTTTCGCCTGCCTCTCAGCTAAACTTATATTTCGCAATATATACCTTGCCCTTAAAAAGAGTAAGCAGCAAATAATAAGTTAAAATTTACAAGCAGAATTCCATTCCATTCTACAGCGGCAATAAATTTTTTAAGTCTATTTTATTTTACACGACCCATCTTTCAAATGTACTGCGCTCATCCCACCATTTCTCGCATTCGAATCATTTCCGCATATCCAGCACCCAAGATGGTCCAACTTTTGCTTGTGGCCTCGGCTGAGAATTTTCTGTTTGTCACGGATGTCATCGTACGTTGGTCGCCACGATTCCTCATGGAGTCTTGGGATACTCGGGCTCGAGCACTCTCACCTGGACTGCAGAGAGTGAGCATTTCTCAGATAAATGTGGAGCCAATTTCCCGACCTCGGAAAGATGAAAGGAGAGCCTGATGTGGGGTAAAACCAGCACAGCATTATTACTGATGTGATAAGAACAATTCAACAAGGTGTTATCGACTCGACTAAAATTACCTAGTTAGTTCCTCTCAAGAACGTCATGCGAAAAATGGAATGGAGAACATGAGCGTAACAATCAGTGGTTGGCAATTACAAGATAATGGCTTAGTTGATGAGATTGTACTTATCAATACCAAGCATTACCCAAGCGGAACGAATGCTAGCAGATTTCGATGACGCTTGTGAGAAAATTTGTCTTCCACTGAATTTTAAGAAGCCAATATTTGCAAAAAAACGCACGTGTTCCTGCCACGACCGACTTTCTATTAACCTCGGCATTGATCAAGTGATTTTGACCTTTCCAGGCTCTGAGGAAGGCGAAATCCGCCGAAACGTCAGCTTAATCGTGAACAAAGAATAATAACACCTCGCGTTTGCTCAACAAAAATACGAACAAAAGCACGTGTTCCTATTCACTCTTCACACTGGACAAAATGAATATCTTCACTTACTACAGTTGTGTGCACCAGTCTTAGGTCGCGTGTAGCGCAGTGGTAGGAGAGCCCTGCAATACACATAGGATATGGGATTGATCCCCTTGCGCCAGGTTCATCAAACCCCCATTACACCACAGTCGGAAAATTAGTACCAAAACTGTTTGGGCTGATAGCAGCACTGACTCGATACATCGATAGACAACCGCGAGTCATTGTGTTGGCCAGATACGCACTCAAACACCTCCAACGATGCCTAATGAAGTCGAATGCATGGCGCATCCATCAGGGAATGATCAATGCCTACAGCTTTATTTTTCATCCTTCACGTGCATCTAGGCTGAGAAGTCAGCATGATGAACGACTTAGCTCCATAGTCGAGCACAAAAAGGGAATGTTTGTGGAGCTTTTAAGAATATCCAGGGAATAAGCGACAGCGATTCTGCCTTAAGGTGTGCGGTGGAAGATTGGACATTACATTACCAGAATTAAAAGTAGAAGAACATGTTGTGCTATTAGAACGCAGTCAAAAGGATGAAGTTGGAGACTAATTGAGGTTCCCATGCATATGGTAGGGAAAAATAAGGACTTTACTGGATCCCATTAGCGTACTTCGAACATGAAAAGGGAGGAGATAATACAGGTGACTAAAGCCAAACATCAAGGCAAGACAAGAGATATTGATCAAAGTATTGGCAAAATAACCACAATGACGCTAAGATATTTGCAAAACCCAGCATCATTCTCGCTGTATTTTACATAATACCCTGCCATGAAAAAAAAATACGCGAAATGTCACCTGTATCAGCCGTGTTCCAACTGATCGCTGAGTGATTCGAGTGGCGCCAGTAAACTTTCCATTTCTGCTTGCGGGGTGCAAGAGTAGCCTAATGGATTCCGCTCGCTCCAGAGAGTCGTCGAGCATTATATCTTTCTCCTAGAGTTTTTATGAAGAACTCTGACTATCGAGTCAGTGGCTTTCCTGCAGCGCGTTTAAAAATCCACCAAATCTAGTCACTAACAGGAGTATAGAACGATATCTTTGAGATTTGACCGCTGACGTCGATCGGAGCTCCGGATCCCTCCCCTCACCTGCGTGAGATAGAAGACTTCCAGCATCGTCGTTTCTATTTTGTGTTCAATCAGTCTGAGTGATCTTTCACCCTGCTTACGTAGCGACCAGTTTCATGATCCATAATTTAAGGCAGGAAGAATCGTGGAGGCGAAGAGGTGGGCACGAAGTAGGGCGTTCTTTCTTTTCCTTACCGCATCATTTATGCTCCTGAACGCTCCTCACGCCCCTCGCTTCCTCCTGCTCAACAGTGAAGCTAAGTCGTTCATCATGTTGATTTCCTGAATTAAGCAAACATTGCTGAATCATTCGGAGATACTCCCACTTCTGAGTGTAAGGGGAGATTCGAAACCGATCCATTCCTCATGGACATCGTCCTTGTGAGATTTAGTAGGAGAGCGATCTCTCCACAAATCCTATCAAAGTTTTCTAGCATTCGTTCGGCATAGCTAACGCTTGATGTCATAAAAACGATGTCATCAGCGAAGCGATTATGGTGTAATTGCCGACTATCGATTTATTCCATGTTCGCATGGGGGTGAATAATTTTGGCGAGATGGTATCGTCTTGCCTAACCTCTCTTTTGGCGTCAATGTTAATATCGTTGTAGGATGGGGACATCCTAGTTGTGAAATTTTTGTACAGCTCACGAAGAATCTTTATGTACTGAGTAGGCACTCGTTGACTATCAAGGGCTTCCAAGACTGCTTCTATCTCAATTGAATCAAAGGCCTTCTTTAAACCGATGAAAGTGAGACAGAGTGGTCTTTTGTACTCTCGAAATACTTCAATGAGCCTTGTTACTGTGTGGATGTGGTCCATCGTACTAAATCATTTTCGAAACCCTGCTTGCTCACATAGCTGTCCTTCGTCCAACGTTCCGTCAATTCTGTATAGAACGACTTGAGTGAAAAGTTTGCAGACGACAGAAAGAAGATTGGCAGGTAGTCAAAGATGTCGTGGAAGTCACCCTTCTTTAATAATATCGCAGTGCGTCTAACTTTTCACTGTATAGGAACCTTGCATTCAGACAAGCAATATGCGAAGAGCCGTGCCAGCGTGTTCATGAGGACTGGCAGGCAAGAAATAAAAAGTTAGATATTGGTAAAACGTTTACCTCTCAGCTGGGAAATATACATATAATCAAATGTCAAATATAATCAAAATCAATATAATCAATATATAATATAATACAATATAATCAAATGAAATAGACATATAATCATCAATCAATCACAAATGGAGTTCCGTAATATATTTCCACCGTCATATTTTTCTCAAAATAACACCAAACAATGACAATTTAGTTAAATAAGTGGACTTCATTGAAACAACAATGTCGACGAACATAGACGGATGGAGAGATTTTTGACCGAAATCAACCAAATGAATTGACTTCAATGACGCTGAGATATTGGCAAAACTCCGTACCGCAGGTGTCTGCGGTAGGGAATGAACGCGCTATTATCCTTTACGGGGAATAACGCAATCTTTCGCCATCAACTGAACTGCCTGAGACACAGGCGAAACGAAGGACCCGGATGGTGTGGTGGTGAACGCGTTACTCCCCGGAAAGAACAACAGCGCGTTCGTTCCCCACCGCAGACACCTGCGGTCCGGAGTTTTGCAAATATCTCAGCATCATTGAAATTATATTTTGCAATATACCCTGCCATTAAAAAGAGTAGGCAGTAATTAATAAGTTAAAACAAATGAATTGATTTATGGTAAATTAAAGGTTTCTAACATAGAATATGCCGAATTGATGAGATAGCTCTACTGCCGTCGTAAATCAACAAAGTGAGAGCGATGACACAAAAGTTCTTCCCTAAGCAAAACCCTCTTTATTGTGTGGAGTTACAACCATCTTCCCAAGAATGTTGTTTCCAAAATGCCTACACAATGCGATCCCAGTCGAAAGTACTAGCGTCAGTTCGCAACGAGTTGCTGTTCTTTATACGTCCAAACATCGCACCGGAAAAACCGTTCAAGGCGCTTAAAACCATACCTTAGGCACTTGTCAACACCTTTGCAAAGTGGCCTCACTTGTTGTACAAGTTTAAACAGGTTCTACTCGTTCATCTACCGAAGCACTGCTCTGTTTCCATCCTGAAGTTGAATCGTGCATAGATTCTATATATAGTAGTGATACATATATGAAATATATGTAATAACATAATATTAATATAATATAGCAATATATGTCATTGTAATACAGTAATACATTAGTACGTCTACCGAAGATCGATCCTATAAGAACCTTAGGGGTCGTCGGGGCTACCTTAGAACCAAATACATTCGGAGTAAAAGGTACCATACAGAAATAAATCCAATAATAATCCATCATAATCCAATAGCGAGGTTAACAGAAAGTCCATATTGGGAACTCGTACAAAAAGTGTTATACCCTTCGCATCCCTCAAGGCGCCCAATGAGCAGCACCTGCGAGCAATAAAAGGAATGGAGATTTTATTGCACCCAGTTCTTTGGTGATAAATAAATCAAAAGGCTATGGATTTAACAATTATAAATTATTAGGCACCTAGAACGTCGTCTCATGATATGTTGGCTCCAGCTTTTTCCTATCACTTCGTTGGTATACATTACACAACTACAACGCTTAAGATAAAACATGGACACTTGCACAACCTTACGCCAATCCCCATCGACAAACTGGCCGAGCTCTTCAAACGCTACCTGTCAGAAATCAAGATTCCTATTCAATCGAAGATCGGCGATACTGTGTTATTGTTCATGAGTGTTATTCCACGATGTCGATAACTATCGGCCAATCTGTTTTAATGTCTGTTATCTATAAACTTTTAACTTGAACCATCCTGAACAGGACTGACAGAAAACTGGACGAAGAAGAGCCATGTGGGCAAACAGGCTTAGGGTTTAAAAAAGCCCTCACTGCGATGAACCACATCCATACCATAACAAGATTCATTGAAGAATCGCGAGAGTACTGCTCCGTCTCATTTTCATCGATTTAAGGAAATTTTGACTCATTTGAGATATGAGCAGCTAGGGGCCCTGGCCAGGAAGAGCGTCCCTACTCAGTATACAATAAATATTCGCCAGTTATGTAAACCTTCACAACCAAAACATCATCGTTCTATAACGACACCAACATCGAAGTGAAAAGGGATCCTAGGCTTTCAAAGCCCAGCAAGCTATATGTGGGTATCAAAATGCTAAACACAGTAAAATAAACCGCCCTCATTCTCTTGACCCTGAAAGAACCCTCAATTCGGCAGCATTGGGTAGGGCGAGTACGAAGAGGCCGCTAAAACCTCAGGGCCAGTCGAAGCTGCCTGAATCACGAAGAACTAAGGATGATCTGTACCTATAATGTACGTACCCTTGCATCCGAGTCCTCAATAGAAGAATTGATCATGCAAACAAGGATAAGGTACGACGTCATCGGCTCAGCCGACACGGGACGACGCCTATGACACCTGAGCACCGTTCCTCGAAACATGCGACAGTAGAGGAATCGGCGGCGTTGGAGTTCTCGTCAACACGAGTTTATCTATGAACATCGATTCATTCGAACAACTTACAACCCGAATCGGACGTTTACGATTAAAAAGCTGTGAATCATTACCGGCTTTGAAAATCTTCGCCGTTTACGCGGCGACATCAAACCATGACGAAGAAGTCGAAGCGTTCTATATGGACTAAGAGAAGTTCTACAGAAAAGACCACACATTCTTCAAGGTCATCCTTGGAGATTTCAACGCCAAGACTGGACCAAGAAGAACGTCTGAAGAACGTCACATTGGGACCCACGAATTAAAATGGAACCAACAGGGTGAGCGGCTGTTTGAGTTTATCATGGCGACTAAGACAATCCATTGTAACTCGCAATTCCAGAAGCCCTACTCTCAGCGCTGGACGTAGGAGTCTCCCAATGGAGAACACCATAACGAAATAGACCACATCATAGTAAATAGAAGGTTTTGCCTAACCGATGTCGCTGTTGTCCCAAAATTCTACACGGGATCAGACCATCGTTTCCTTCGTGCAAGATTCTATTACTTGCGGAAAGGAGAAAAAGCCCCTAAATTCCAAAACCGAAGTCCCAGAACCACCGTAAACTGGGATTTATTCAATTCATTAGTCGGCTGTTGGGAAGATGCCGTTGTCGATAGCATTGACGGAGAATACGGTCGGCTCATTCAACATCTTCACGTTAGCGCTATGAGAGCTGAGAGTTCGAAAATCACCAAGAGACGTCTGTCTCCAGAAACAATCGCGCTGATACGCCAGCGTGGAGTTGCACGAGCTACAGGCAAGCGCCAACTCACGTCCGAACTTGCAAAACAATGCGGACAGGCGATAGAGGAAGATCTTGAAGAGAGACGAGCAGCAGTTATGGTCGAAGCTGCAGAGGCTGGGAAAAGCATTCGCAAATCCCATCGATGCTTCGCCAATTCCATGACCAAGGTGGTTGCACTCCGACGCCCAGGCGGAACAGTTACAGCGTCCAGAAAAACAATGAAGAAAATCGTTCACGAATACTACTCAGACCTCTTCAATAGCCACGTCCTCTTTCCCTCATACTAAACAAAGGAGAACAGATATGTCGTACCACCGGTTCTCCCTTCCGAAATCCGACATGCTATTTCGCTGGTGAGAAATAGAACAGCACCAGGTCTGGACAGAATAAGATGAAGAACCTTCAGCCAGTCCTAGTAATGCAAGGCCCTTACTCAGTTGAAGAACAGCAAGACCGTACTGATGTTTAAGAAGGGTGTCACTTCCACAATATCGGCAACTATCGCCTAATCTGCTTGCTGTCTGTCGTCTACAAACTTTTCACTCGAATCATCCTAAAGAGGATTGACAAAACACTAGACGTAGGACAGCCATGTGAGCAAGCAGAGTTTCGAAAACGATTTAGTACGATGGACCACATCCACACAGTAACAAGGCTCATTGAAGTATTTCGAGAGTACAAAAGACTGCTCTGTCTCACTTTCATCGGTTTAAAGAAGGCCTTTGATTCAGTTGAGATAGAAGCAGCCTTGGAAACCCTTGATAGTCAACGAGTGCCTACTCAGTACATAAAGATTCTTTGTGAGCTGTATAAAAATTTCACAACTAAGATGTCACCATCCTACAACGATATTAACATTGACGCCAAAAGAGAGGTTAGGCAAGACGATACCATCTCGCTAAAATTATTTACCACCACCCTCCAGAACGTCTTACGAACATTGGAATGGGATAACATGGGAGTGAAAATCGATGGTCGGCAGTTACACCAACTTCGCCTTGCTGATGACATCGTCCTTACAACACCAAGCATTAGCCAAGCGGAACGTATGCTTGGCGATTTTGATAAAGCCTTTGGGAAGATTGGTTTTCGATTAAATCTCACAAAAATGATTTTCTTTAGGAACGGATTGATTTCGCATGCCCCATACACGCTCAACGGAACGAACATCTCCGAATGGTCCAGTTATGTCTATCTAGGTCGGGAAATCAACATGTTGAACGACTTAGCTCCAAAGTTGAGCAGAAAGGAATGAGTGACATGGGGAGCCTTCAACAGCATCGAGGATGTAGTGAAGAGAACAAAGAACACCCGATTCCGTACCCACCTTTTCAACTCAACGGTACATCCTGGCCTAACGCATGCGTCAGAAACCTGGTCGCTGCGTAAGAAGGATGAAAGGGCACTCAGCGTTATTGAACACGCAGTCGAAAGGGCAATGCTAGGAGTGTCCCGTGTCATGGAAGTAAGGGAAGGGTTCCGAAGCCCCGACGTGAGTCAACGATCAAATCTCAAAGATGCCGTTCTGCACGCCAAACAGTCGAAGATAAGGTGGGTCGGACACGTAATGCGTATGAATGACAACCGATGGACAAGAGCCGTTAGTGACTGGATTCCTCGGGATGTTAAACGCACTGCAGGAAAACCACCGACCCGATGGTCAGAGTTCTTCACGGAGGGCCTAGAAAAAAGATGTGATGCTCGACGAGTCCCTAGAGCAATCAGGACTCACTGGGCTACTCTTACACGCGACAGGGAAAAATGGAAGATTTACTGGCGTGCAATGGAGTCACTCGACCATCAGCGGGACTACAGGTGATACCTGGAATCCAACACATACACATCAGCTCAGTTTTGGGTAAACGCTGAGAATTGAGCATCCCTGAATTTTACTGGCATATTGGATAAGCGGTCATAACTGTTATCATATCCATCGGAATTAACAAATTGATGCTGTTGGGAGTAAAACAGACAACTAAACACCACTGACGGAATACTCACGGATCCCTAAGGGCGCGTGGTGCAGTGGTCGGAGGGCGCCCTGCAACATACGCGTGGAAACTATTCCCGCGCCGACTGCCCATCAAGCCTGCTATGCCTCCGGGGTTAGAAAATTGGTACCAGACTTGTCTGGGCGTACAGCAACATTGGCTCGATGCATGGCGCATCTCTCAGGAATTGATTAACGCCGAAAGTTTTATCCTTCATCTTAAGTGGTCACGTCAACAATATGGATGTAAGCTCCAGTGACAATATACGATACACGACTTGTATCCAAATCAGATGAGCAGGTTTTCAGGCGTCCAGTCACTAAATCACGAGACTTTTAGAAGAACAATGTGTAAATTTGTAGAGAATAACGGTTAGAGCGTTCGGTGTTCATCAATCCTTGAGAGGTGCACTATGCATCCCACTTCATCAAGTGTCATTAGAACTGAGTGAACGCATGTCTGCCCTTTAAATGGCCTGCCGTAGGCTATCGATGCATTAAGTGGTAGTGCTGGTCTTCCCAGACAAACCCGGTACCAATTTTGCCGACCTGTGAAGAAAAAACGACCTGGTGAGACTGGAGCACCAGCATCCAACTAGCTATAGATCCAATGCATAGTGCTACGCATCTCTAACCACTGCGCATCACCCACCCTGCATACATTTATAGCATTAGATATTGCATTCAATTTTAAACGACTATCACAAAGTACAAGAAATGCGCAAAGCAACAAATATGTTGAGGGTCAAAACTCGACAGTACCAAAGGAGGCTGAAGATAGCAAACAGCAGTGGTGTCAAGAAATCATAGATTACAAAGAAGAACAACAGTACGAACTTAGCGGTTAAGTGTAACGAAGGATCATCCAAGTTCTCCGAGTTCAGCCAAAAAGAAGAGACATTTGCACCGCTATGGACGTCTACTTGATTTTGTAATACATTTCTAGTGCTGTAACATGGATTATTGTTTACTCAATTGCACACAAAGCCGATTAATTTGTTTTGTAGAAATTAAGTTAAAAATGCGACGAAGAAATAATCAAAACAGACAGCCACCTCAACCAAAATAGTATCGGGACAAATCGTTGTATAACTGTTAAATGACGCATATGGAAATCAAATTAATCCCAAATTGACAATATTTCAAAAAATCCGAGTTGTCGACGAGGTTAAGATTTAGCGCGGACACCTACTGGAAGAAATAACGACTCCAAAGAAAAATACAATAGAGATCCTTAAATACTAATATGAGAGCTATCGAAAGGAAAAGAAGAATCAGCTATACCAAAAATAAATAACCAAAACGGCTTATTAAGAGAAAATCTGATATCAGCAGTGAAAAACGAAGCAAATCACAAGTCTTAATGTCATAATAATAAATATTTTCAATAGCGTTATGTTTTATGATGTTAACGTTCTGTTGCAATCATTTAGTAAATTTTTAAAAATGAGTCGTCTAAAAACAAAGGGCAGCATATAAACTAGAACTCCGAGGTAAAACATACAGGTAAACCCAATTAGGAAAAAGTGAGAAAAACATCGTCAAAGAATCCCACATGAGCGGCACTTACATACCAAGATGGACCACGGATAAAACGAAATATATCGATCTACTGAGCAACTTGAGCCTCATTGGTGACGTCGGAAAAAGGGGCATCACCGACTTCTCTCAGATCCTCTTTATCATCTTTTATCATAATCTCATCCTTGGCATTTTCCAAAGGTGAAGTGTTTGTCACAGCGTCCGTTATGTCTTCAAACATTTCTGTATCCTCTAAATCTTTCAAATTGAGAATGCAAGTTTACCAGTTTGTTCTCAATATGGATAACTGTAATAGCGTACTTACCGGACTTCTTAGTTGTGCCATCTTCAACACTTTTTTCATCTCCTAAAGCGTCAGACTCTTCTTCATGTTCAATATCCTCAGCTTCATCATTGTCCACATATTCGTCCAAATCCACCGTGCTCCCCATATTCTCCTCTGCTTCTTCCTAAAGATCTGAATTAGCAAACAAATGAACGCATCCAGTTCTTATCGTAACCCACGTGCTACAACGACCAACCAAAGTTAGGAAAAGTTTCGTCAAGTGTGGTGTACCCCACCTGTCGAAAAGTAATCCATCTCATTGTACCTCTCCATCTAAAATTCAGTTTTTCTATCTATAGTTTTTATTTCCTCTGTATTGTATGTAATTATCAGTGCATTTTTCGCGCTCTTTAAAACATTTTTCAGCTTGTATATGGTGACAAAAAAACAACACTGATGCAACACCGGTTCCGCTAGCCATTCATACCTGCCCCACGTGTTCTGAGCGATCACACAGCAAAGAACAATCAATTTCTGGTTAGAGATCGAACTTAACAGGCCTGAATTATTCTAAAACACAAAGTGAATTTCGTGTACGACCTACTATTCATTCAAAGTGCATAAGATGAAACCTTAGGCGCTGAAGACAAAAAGGAATTCCCTGTGCTACCCTAAAAAGCAGTCTAAAGAATAGTAAGTCATCGAATGTTACAACAATTTCATCGGTTTGGTCTTCAAGCGACCAGTTAACGCCATTTCCTCGCTTGTCAGAAATGTAAACAAGGAAGTACGTATATTGTTATTTCTCTATAGCTTAGGTAAACACGCTTCTTCCTTCACTTAGTTACTCAGAAGAGTTTGCCGAACGCATCGAGAATACGTTGCAAAAGTGTCCAAAAAATGTCTACATTAGTATTTGAAACTCAAACACTACTACAGCCCTGATTTTCAAAAAGTGATAGCAGCTACAATTTCAGTTGTCTATGTCTTACAAATGAGTGCAAAAAATAGTAGCACACTAGCGGAACACACTACATGAGCTCATTTCGGATAATCTCCGTACCCTTCACGCAAGCAACAGCGTACCTCTAGAAACCCAAGCAACCGACTGAGTACAAAAAGTAAAGGAAGAAAACATCGAAAAAGAAGGCAACGAGTAACACGAGTTAGAGGGAATTTACCTTCTCTCTTAAAACGAAAAATTCCTTGTTTCAAAACGGTCAACACTTGTGTACATGGCTTTAAGACGTTCTCAATGGAGAGAAAGATTAATACCTCATCCTCTTGCTTGTCGTACGCATCATCTTCAATATCTTCTAGTGGTAAAAGGTTTGACTCTTCAACTTCTTCTTGGTTCGGCTCAGGCGGATACTCATCAGGCTGGTTTTCATCCCACTTTATTGGAAAGGATGTTACTCGCAGATCATCTGTTTGCACGGTACGGATCAACTAAAGTGTACTTTAACATAGAAAAACAAGAAACTGTACGACAGTTGAGATATGTACGAAAACAACCGGAAAACAGTTAAGCCAAAACCACTTCACAGCCTTATGAAACACTTCAAAACATATAAGTACCGCTGACAACTTATGATTCGAAATAGCAACCAATCTTCTCATTCCACAATAAGAAAGATCATAGGCTTCATTCATTTCCCAAGAGTGCCTCATACCTTCTCGATCAACGGTTTTGCAGGAGGGTTCTCCTTCAATTCTGGGTCTTCATAATCATTTGATACAAACCATCCCAAGTTGATAAAATCCTAAACTACATCAGTGAATCAGCAGTACGACACCGAAACATTGTTCGTTCTGTGTAACGCACTTGACCATTATACTTGCATCTAAGTAGCAGCACTGTTACACCGACAAGATCTTGCACTGGAATCTTCGACGGATCTGGAGCATCAACCTGTAGTAGAAACAAACATATACAGAAGTAGAATCAAAATCGACATGAAATAATCACTTACCGCAAAAACAAACTTGTGGCGACCCTCCGGAACTGGACCCACCAAGGCCGAGTCGAGCAGTTGATCATACGAGCTTGATTTCGCCGAGCCAACATACACTAGTTCCCACTCCAGATCTAAGAGAACTAATTAGTGTACACAGAAATTGATACGAATTTCGACAAATACTTAATAATGGGAACAGTACAGTTGACTCTTTCAGGAAATTTTTATTCATATGTAGAACTTGGTATGACAAGTATTCCCTAAGACGTTACTAGTTCCAGAATCCATCGATTTCGAGAAGTTTATGGTGATCTTTCGTACTTGAACTGTAGCCGTTGTAAATAACCACTTCAAAACCCTGAGCTCAACCACTTCCCACTTCATTGCCTACCCTTATTCATGGATCCACAAATAAGACCACCAAGAACCAGCAACATCTTTATCGGACGACAGAATTACGGCGATTTCTACTTGCTCTAGAAAGTCATATTCTCTCATATTCATAGTAATCTTCAGATGATTATGTGATCTCTACAAGAGTCATATGATGCGAAAATAATACCTGCTCTAAGCTTCAAACTTTCAGCTCAAAGTGCATTATATTAACTGCATTTAAAAAAGATCTGAAAAATGTAGTACGATGGTAGACAACTGGATTATTTTTTTTAAAAACAATAAACTATTGAAGAGAACCTTCACTATAATTGCTATACACATGGCTATATAATAATTGCCCTACCAATGGTTTACCGACACACCATGGATGGGAGGTGTTCCTGGGTGCTGGGTTGCGACATACTTCCGGGAGATTCATTCCACAGCAGCGCCTCCCAAAAACAGAAGCAGCCCGGAGTTTCCACTAGGAAGCCCAGTTAAGAGTAAACCAATACCAGGATCCACCACCGTCCTAATACCAAATTATTCGCAAGGCAGCAAATCTTCATCTGATCCGTAAGGGCGGCGACTACCTGTGGTGATGACGTCCTGGGGCAGACTTTAGCCAGGCCGAACTCGGAACTGCAGGGAACCACAATCGTTAAACTGGCAAAACTCCTAAAAAGTGGAAACTATGCTGGGGCACGCACAACCGGGCAGTAGAGCCATCCAAGCATCCAAGTATATAAAAATGCACAATCAGGAAGACAATACTGGGACAGGAATTGTGCTTTGCCTGCACAACTCATAAAAATAGTAATCCCAATATGGAAGTGGCCTAGTGTGTGATATAGACACCTTTAAAAAGACTTAATAAAAGACACGACTGGAATTAAAATATTATTGCCCAATTAAAAAAAGGATAAGGCTGCCGGCGTTGATCAATCCCTGAGGGATGCACCATGCATTCGATTTCATTAAGTATCGTTGGAGGCGATTGAATGCAAATTTGGCCTTTACAATGACTCGCGGTGGCCTACTGATGTATCTACTAGCCAGTGCTGCTATCCTCCCAGACAAGTCTGGTACCAATTTTCCGACCCCGGAGGGATGGAAGGCTCGGTGGGCCATGGGCGCTGCTGTTGATTCCACGTGCGTGTCGCAGTGGCGCCTCCAACCACTGCGCCACACGCGGCCCTGCCCAATTAGTCTCACCTAAATCACAGATTAATGAGAAGAACAATCTAGAGGAAGTTACACTTAAAGCTGAAAACATTGGTTCATGGAGAAGAACGAGAAAGCGTACGGCAACATGCCAAGTACCTAAGCTACTCAAAAAAAAGATGTCTGGAACCAAAGCCTTATCAATTCTAAGAGCGTGAATCATCGTAAAGACAAGTTATACCAGCAAATCCCCATTTAACATGATCTCTCATTGCTGATTAAAGTAATCCGACCTCATTTTGTCTTCAGCTTCATTCTCTATAAGTAGATTATCTTCTCACTTATAAATGTCGCCGCGAAAGAGGAAAACGTGAGTACTCATACTTTACTCATCTATTAACGATATCTGTCTATACTGACGAAATTGTCTACTCCAAACTCTACTGCTTAAAACAACTGAACTACTTTTTTTTCATAGCAGGCATGCTTTAATACTACTGTAGCAAAAAACCACTTTCTAACATTCGTCTCTCCTTACACAACAGATCGCACTCACCATGAGGTAGATATTCGAAAACTTCGAAAGTGATTTCGAGCTTGAACTGTGAGATGAACGTTGACGGATTATCCAGAATATTTACAGAACAAATATTAACGCGTGACGCCATAAATTTCTAAAATTCAAAGGCCTTTGCAAAACTGTGAGAACCGGGTGAAACAAGAGATTTCCAACGACTCCTTTAACAGAAATAGCGCTCCATAAGGTTAACGAAGTCTAAAACAGTCAAGAAAATAAGTAATAATGAAGAAAACCTTCATTCAAGTGTTACACACGAATGGGTAATATCGAGCTATAAGTGAAGTCTCTCGAGAAATTCATGGTAGCCCGTGAGTCAGGAAAGCGGAGTGGGAACAAAAGACTTTGCACAACCTAGAGAAAAAGAAGCGGCGAGCAAAACTTGAAGAAACAGAGGGAAACTTCCTACTCTGTTGACTACTGCCACTACTACTACCACTACTACCACTACTACAGATTCCGGACACTGAAATTCAATTGCGAGCAGACATCGCGCCCTTTTCTTCCCGTATGTGGAATATCTCGTCCAAAGCACTCGTCCCTATAACACTTCAGTGACAAAAAGACAAAAATACAATTCTGATAGTGCCAAGCAAACTAATGGACGAGTTAGCTAAAACCTTAAAGGGTAAGATCATTGTGGTTCGGACATTCTGTCCCTTTAAATATGACAGTTTCGCACATCATGTTGGTCATCGCCGCTTTATTTTTTATGTCTTTTTTTATGTTTTAGTGGTGCTCATGTGTTGTTTTAGTAGTTTTTTGTTTTCCGAATGGATTTTCGTTTAGGATGGATGACGAGAATACCGTCAGAGTTGACCCAGTCAAAGCTGGGCCACGATCTGATCAGGAACTCATGGCTCATCTAGCAGCTCAGGTATTCCATTCTAAAGTATTCTATATAAGGTACTTGACGTTGAGAAGAAAAAGCCGAGAAGGCAAAGATTACGAAAGTCTACGCCTAGTTGGAAAGTTGCTCTTACTTCTACTGCGAATTACTGGAAAGTGTGGACTCTAGTTATTGCTCTATATGTTGAGTCCATTGAGGCTGTTGGACGTTGATCCTGTTGATTGATAATAATGTTATGAGACTATGAACGAATTGGTCAGACGGAATGTGACATTTTGTGTTGTTTTTGTTTATCTTATGTTTAGCTTTCCCTATTCTTTTATTTCTCTTTTTTGGATTTACCAACGTTTTTTTCACAAGGTTCGTGTCAGTTTCTATAGGAATAGAATTTCGGATTTTTTTCCGCTTGCAAACGTATCAAAGCAGTGATTTTTACGATGTGTTTAGGTGGGCGATGGTCGACTTTTCAAGATGGACGTCGACTATACCAGTCAGGTTGATGAGGCCATTCCAAAGGCAGACGCCATCGCTGCGGTAAAGTGTTTCTCCCATAAATATGTTTGATGGTGGATTACTTTGTATTTGTTGTCATCTTGTGGGTTTTCCTTAGAAGGGAGATGTTGCTGGAGCGCTGGATTCACTAACTAATCTCGAGAAATTGTCACGTCTTGGTTCGGATATGAAAAGCAACACAAGAATTGTTCAGCACATGGTACGTCAATTTCAACACTAATGCCTTGTGTAATTATACTTAGACGGGCTTGTCCTCCGTTCGATGGCAAGGTGCATTGTGAATTTCCAGGTGAAGTTGTGTTTTGATGGAAAAAAGTGGGATCTCCTTAATGATACTATTCTTACACTGTCAAAGAAAAGACTGATTATAAAAATGGCCATAGCGAAAATGGTGAGATTTTTAAATATTGCGTTTTCATATTGTGTGCTTTATGCATTCATGTCAGCATTTGTTATAAAAAACCATGATCTTGAAACGTTCATCGTCAAACGAACAGTGAAATTTATTACTGCAGCGGAGATAGTTTATTTTTGTAAATCTAATATCTAATACTTATAGATCCGAGACGCCTGTGAAATGGTGAAGAAGATGCCAAATGAGGAGTTGAAAATGAAGCTTGTTGATACTCTTCGTACTGTTACCGCTGGAAAGGTTTTATTTTAGTGCGAATGTTGAGAATCTTTTACGGTCTTCACTTTAAATCCCACACTATGATTTCCAACAGTGAGAGCCCGACGGTGATGCTCATAGCGCCGTGTAATAGGTGCACTACAGTACCTAGTGGACCTGTCGCTAGTTCGATATGGGCTCCTGGACGCACAATGCCTTCCATCTCTTCGGTGCTGCTGAATTGATACCAGGGTTGTCTGGGAGGATAAAAACACGGACTTGATCCATCGGAGGCCACCGAGAACCACTGTGTACCGGACATACGGTCACCCACCTCTACGATGCTTGATGAAGTCCAATGCATAACGCATCCCTCATACATTAATCAAGGATGAACTCTTTACGTTTCACTTCACACGTGTAATACCATTTGACAGGTGCGCAGCATGGTGCATATTTACTGCGAATTTTGGTCAGTTCATGTCGGCAAATTTGTCTTGCCATAGTGTGATAGAAAGTCAACTCATGTCGAATTCTAAATACTGGTGTGTACGTACGCAAACTATTTCTGTATGGCCTTTCAGATTTACGTTGAAGTCGAACGTGCTCGTCTTACTTCTTTAGTGGTCAAGAAGCTTGAAAGCGAAGGTAAAATTGAAGAAGCAACAAACCTTATTTTGGAGTTGCAAGTCGAGACGTATGGTTCTATGGAGATCAAAGAGAAGGTAGGCATCTTTTGCATATTTCTACCATAGAATTCAATGGCGGAGGTGGAGCAAAATTTGAATATTTCAGGTGGAGTTTCTGCTAGAACAAATGCGATTGTCCTTAGCACGTGGCGATTATATAAGAGCTGCAATCATCTCAAACAAAATCAGCACAAAGTTCTTCAGTAGTGACAAAGATGAGGTTGTGACAGCATTACGCATGTGTTCCAAATTCTTCTTCATTTTTCGGATTTTGATCCTGTATTGAGACATATCTGTGGTTTAGATTCAAGATCTGAAGATACGCTTCTATAATCTAATGATATCCATTGGATTACATGATTCGAAGTATTTGGATGTATGCAGACATTACAGGTCATCTTCCTTACCATTCTTTTATCTCTCTAATGCCTCCGAAATTTTCGTTTTGGAATGTTTTAATTTTAGGGCATTATTTGATACACCTAAGATTGCGGCAGACACTGAAAAAGCTCGAATGGTAATTTGCTGGTTTTTAAGTAGTTTACATCTGTATATATATATATATATATATATATGTATACGTACATTCCATAAGTACACGGTAGTTCGTATATGCATATGCACATTTACGTATATGTATATACATATATATTGTGTACATGTAGGTACTTATGTAGTCCACGTATACATATATATTTTCTGTAATTTTTATAATATTCTATTCTTAATAGTGTTATATTTACAATAATGCTGAGATATTTGCAAAACTCCCGATAATAGATGTCTGTGTTGGGGATCGAACATAGTTGTTACCCTTTCCGGGGGCTAAAGTTTTCAACACCACACCATGCATGTCCTTCGCTTCGCCTTTTTCTCAGCGTCAGCGTTATATTTATTGTATATGTGAACGTATATATATCCTATTCGTGGCGGTTTGTACCGATTTCAACCGATACGATTATGAGATAGTGGCCTCTTATTAGTTACAACCAGTATATCTGTTTGTAGCAAATTTTTTAAGAAGGATGAGAACCACTAGAGGTACGAAACATATTCTTTCGTCTTTTTTCATTAATGTTCAACAGGACTCTTTAATGTTCCTCAGTGTACCATTCGTGTTCATAACTGCTGCGTTTGCGTGCGGAGTTTTTAATATTTAAATTCACTTGCAATTTACTTCTTACTTTAAATTTTTAATTTAAGACAGATTCAAGTTCGGAATGTTTTGCAAAACTTGTGGTGGCCTAAAAGCTAGAGCGGGGCTCACTAGAATTATGTAAAGTTTTCAACTACTGTATCGAAGAACTTTCTTCAGTCGTCAGGAACTGCGAATGGGGATGTATTTATATATATATATATAATATATATATTTTAAAAACAAGTATATTTGTACATCCCGCACTTATGCAATGTCTTTTTTCAAAATAGTTTTTCTAGAAACGTTAGCTATTGCGTAGGAATCCTACTATTTCAGGTACTGAAGTGTGCTGTTATATATTGTCTTCTGGCCCCACACACAAATGAACAATGGGACTTACTTAATCGCACTGCCTTGTTAAGGGAATTGGAACTTGTCCCTGACTATAAGGTTGGACATCTTTCAGGGCAGTATGTTTTTTAAACAGTTCGCAATATTTTTGTTCAGGCATTGATGGACTTGTTCATCAACCAGGAATTAATTTCATGGAAGAACATCATCATTAGAGTGTATGAGAAGACCTTGAAAAAGTCATCAAATGGGACGGTGAGCTTCCTTTTTGAGGGCGATATAGTTTTCGTAGAAGTATATCTCAATCTATGACACTTCTGAAGCATTATGGGTTCTATATATTTACTTCCTCTTGAGTTTTCTATCAATTTCTCAGGTTTTTGATGGCAAAGAAGGTGAGAAACGATGGAAGGATTTGCACATGAGAGTCGGTGAACACGTGCGTGAACGACCAGTTTTAGCCATTTTCGAATTTATTTTCTGTTATAATGAAACTGATCTGGAGTGTGGGATCAAATTTAGGCAGCTAAGTGGTTCAATAATAGTTTGTAGGTTACCACAATACAACAAGAAAAGGCGAATAATGATTTTTTTAGTACTTGGTTGTTGTGTCATTTGCATCGTTTGGTATCATATTAATCACTGTATCACTTTACCAGTAGTTACTGGTGAATGAATGGGTTTTGGTGCCGTGATCCTTTACATCTTTATGGGAGAAAACTTGAGTGATATAGCAAGGCGTATTTACAACGTCTATGTTGTTTTTCTTCATTATAAAATGTATATTTGCTAAATTATGTCGCTTGTTACAGAATATGCGTGTGGTTTCAAAATACTACACACAGATCACATTTGATCGATTGTCAGAATTGCTTGACTTCCCTCTTAACGTAAGTGCTCTTAATGTAACTTAATTAATCAACTTAAGCATTGGATCTGAGTTACTGTAAGGTCGATGGTAGTGTAAATCACTATAATGAATACTCACCCTTCAAATAACCTTTTCATTCCCTATCGAGATTATTACTGTCCTTCCTTCCTTCAGCGAGTTATTTTGAAGTCTGAGACGATTTCTGTAGTGCTAGTTTCTGTTCATCATTTTGTATCGCTCTAGGACATGGAGTCATTCTTATGTAACTTGATCGTCACTGGTGCTGTTTGTGACACTAAAATCCATCGTCCATCACGAGTAGTAAATTTGAGAGCTCGTAAAGCCAATATGGAACAACTGGACCAATGGGCAAGCAATGTGAAGAAGCTGACGGAAACTCTGAACAAGGCAGGTTTTGTATGTGCTCGCCCAAAGTATGCGCTTAAAATATCTTGTTTTGGTTATGTTATTCGGGAAGTAACTTTGTGTCAACCCGTTAAACCACTGATAGGTTAGTTATGGCGTATGGTTGAAAATGGGTTCCATTAAAAACAGTTTTTACTCTTGTCTGTTGAAGCGAAAATATGATATTTGTGTTCTCATTTCGCTCCGCATAATGGTGAGAGATGTATAGATGAATTAAAACCAACAAAACACCGATTGCAATCGTAGATCAATCTGTGGTCTTTTTCTGGATTTGTTACTTTTGTGATATTTAATCACAAAGTCTTTATTTCTTTGTGTGAGGCAGTGATTCTTTCGATTCTATGGAGAAAAGCTTCAGTGATCAAACAAGGAGCGTTGTGAGCCAGATACCTGTCCTAGAAATGTGTCAATTTGAGTGTTTATATATGTGATCAGCCGTCTGTTACTGGCTTATTGGAGGTGTAAAATGAGTTCTGGTTCCTTTTCATTCCATCGTATTCCCAGACTTTCGCGTTCCCATGTTTTCTAATAACGGCAAAATATCTTTTACAAACGCTCGTGTTCTAAACTGCTTTGCAAAACTTCTGGTTTGCTATATCAGTTTTCGACTCCTTGTTTAACTCCAGTGGTACCATTTTAAGCTGCGATAGATTGACTGTTCAATATTCAGAACATAATAATTGTTAATTTTCCAGATTAATGGGAAGTGTTTTAGTTCTTAATGACAGGGTGCTGCTTGTGATTTTATGTATTTTAGGTCTCTCACCTTATCCTTAAAGAGCAAATGGTGCATCGAAATCTTGAGGCGATGCAGGTCAACTAAGTGCTGGCAGTAACCAATCTTCGAAACTCGTCACTCATCAATTTATTCTTGATTTTCTCGTTGACAGAAGATCTTCATTAGGAGGTTTTTATTGCAAGTTTTTGGGATCTAATAAATTGTAAATTAGTGATATTTTCAAAGTCGAATGAACGCTTTATATAGTGACTTACAGTGAATAGAGTACAGCAGTTAACATCACGTTAAGAATGTACTCGAGAAATAACTCACTTCGTATAATAGGTTGAGTTGGAGCTCATTACCTTTACTGTCGGACATAAGTGTTTCATTGTTGAAATCGAGTGTAGAGGTGGGATTGACCAAGATTTTTCGTTATATTGTGGATGGATCAGAATTCTTTTGTTGCATTATTCATATCCATACGGTACCTATCTTCTATGCTTGATGACTTAGGAAGAACCGAAGCGATTTTTGAACCGAAAAAAAACGAAGGGATTTCTGAAAAAGATCGTTGGCAGGGAATTTGGCCAACAGTTAAATGTTATTTCATTTTAATCAGCATGGTTAGTGCATGGAGTGTACGGTTACAAAGAAATCGAGATAGAACCGACAGAGGTTGCGAAGTACTTCGAAGTCCCTACAACGATGTATTTGCATAATGGACTGTAGTGTCACCTTACGTGTGACCTATCGTCCCTTTGATTGTCATGGAATTCGATTGGACGCCAGTAAGTGTTCCATATTTTCCTGTCGCGTAAACGACTAGTTCACTGGATTCTGCTCGCTCTGTGGATTCGTAGAGCATCATGTCATTCTTCTAGGACGTTCATGAAGAACTCTGACCATCAAGTTAGTGGTATTCCTATGGTATGTATGAAATCCGGAGGAATGCAGTCACTAATTGGTGTGTCGAACGCCGCCTTTGATTCTGATCGGTGACGTAAATCAGAATTTCGGATCGCTTCACTTACTTGCTTGACATGGGGGCTCCTAGCATTGTCTTTTTGACTGCATGTTGAATAACGCCGATTGGTGTTCTATCCTGTTGACGTAGAGAGCAGGTTTCTTATGCAACGTTAAGGCAGGAAGGATCGTGGAGTCGAAAAGGTGAGCACGGAGGCGGATATCTAAGCTCTAGAACGAAGTCGTTCATCATATCGATTTCCAGGCTTAGGCAGGTGTAGCTGGAGCGTTCGAAGGTATTCATTCCGTTGAGCATGAATGGGGCATGCGAAACCGATCCGTTTTTCATGAACATTATTTTTGTGGGACTTACTCGAAGACCAATCTTTCCACGGGCCTTATCAAAGTCGGCAAGCATTTGTTCCGCTTGGCTAATGCTTGCTGTTATAAGAACGATGTCATAGGCATTGCGAGGATGGTGTAATTGGCGAGAGTGGCAGCAAATAATTTTTGGCGAGATGGTGTCGTCTTGCCTAGTCCATTCTTCGGCTTCAGTGTTAGTATCGTTATGGGATGGTGATCTTTTAGTTCAGTTTTATTTATCATTCTATTCTTTTTCTAGTTTTGGTTTAGTGAAATTTTTATGTAGGTCACGAAGAACCTTTACATACTCAGTAGGGACTTAGGAGGATTGAGAGAACACTGGATTAAGCGCAGCCATTTGGGAATGCAGGGTTTCGAAAAAGATTCACTATGATGGATCAGATCCACAAGATAACTATGCTCAATGAAGTATGGTGAGAGTACAAGAGACAGCGTTATCTTAGCTCAATAGATTTAACGAAACCGTTCGCCTCAGTTGAGATAGAAGCGGTCACAGAAGCCCTAGACAGTTCTTCTACAGTTCTGTCATGTTTACAACTTCTAAAGCATTCTAATTTTTAAAGAATGACTTTATATTGTCGAAGACCAGAAAGTGCGCACCGTACGAGAAGTTTTTCGTATTATGTTTGGAGAGCCACGCTAAAAAGGGCGGGTCCGATATGGATCATGGGTTCTGGTTATCTATTTGTACTCGTTTCAATTTGCTCGATCATCTAGATCCTCAACGAGTGATGTTGTTGAAGAGATCGGTACAGGAGAAAAAAATTGGAGGCGTGTACTTGACTGGTATAAGATAATGGTAGAAATCTCTGGGATACAGAATTACTGTAAGAAGGGGTCGCCCACAACACACCCGTAGATGTAACCGATGTGCGGAATACCACATCTTTGACTATTTTAGTACTAAAAACCAAACTGCAAATTGAAAAAAATTACCAGTACATGCATTGCAGTCATTGGGTCAGCGTCAGTAAATTGCTGGTAGGTATGTTTAAGAAAACGACACTGATCCATGAATAGCAGCGAGTACGTGTGTGAAGTGAATGAAGACAACAAAATTTTCAAGTAGTAGTAGGACCTGCAAATCCAAATACTCTGTATATGACGGGTGTAAATCAACGAAACGGATGAAAGAATTAAAGGTGAACCGGTTTTGACCATAGCCGTTATAAGACCAGTGAGTAGTGGTGAATAGACGTCACTTTGTATTATCTTACAACGTAACTGCAGCGAATAAGTGTTCTTTCACACGAGTTATTGCTACATAACACAACTCTCCGATGATTTCTTACCGCATAGCTGACGAGAATCGACGGTCATTCGTGCTGAAGTGCCATGGAACAGTGCTTTCACCTAACAAGTTTAGTGGCAATTGGAAATGAATGTCTATTAAAAATTGCAGAACATTCGATAGAAGCGTGATGGTTATTCAGGAAACCTCCGTTCGAATCGCAAGAGGAAGCGTAGCAGTATTAAGTAGTCCAAGAAGTCTGTTAGATTTTCGGTCCTGTATTCCAAATGTTAAAACGCACTGATCTTCTGGACAACTTAACAGGTATGCATTGTGTATATACACTATGAGGGATGTATAGATTAAAAGATAAAGCTTCTGGTATAGACAGCATTTCCCACAAAATAAACTTCCTATATAAGCTATTCTATCGTTCTAACAGAAACCTTCTCTACAGCTGGAATCAGAGTGTACTAATTGAAAAACTTCCTCGAATGTTCTTCTAAGCATTAACTCTAGTTTATTCTATCAATACTTTACTCATCAGAGAAGGAGTACAACGAGCACCATCGGTCGTCCTCCGGTTTGCTCAAGTAGTGTTCTTACAATCTTCATCTTCTTTCTTTCTCATTTCACGTAGTAGAATTTTAGTGTCGAGCTCTCCATTACTGTAAACAACGTCAACCTCGCTTGCACGTTATGCCTTTTCCGCTCCAATCACCAATTTTTCACTTGTTCCTCATTCCTTGCTACAGTTCCTCTTCATGTTTCTTCTCCAATTCGTCACATGAACTACATTCGCTACCGTCCATTTGGTATCATTTCTTATTAACACTTAATCCATTTTAGATCAAGTTTTATTCTGTGTGGAACTTCTTCCTCACATTACATCAGCAGTCTATTGCACTAACTACTCTCTTATTTTCAGTGTGACTTCTTGCTCATTGATTTATCTTTGTTCAGTGAATCCGTTGTCACCTTGATATTTATGCTGTTGGAATTTCTTAATATTACCGTGTCGTTCTTCGTGGTTGCAACGAGAAGTCCCAAATGGAAAATTCGTACGCAGTCGAAATACCTCGAACTGGTGAACTCCTTGCTTATTCCGGTTCTTCAAAGGGAAACCGATATTGATTTCAGTCAATGAAATCTCAAAATTACAAAAGGAAAAAAGGCATGATGGAGAGGTGAGAGTCTAACCGTGCACCCACAGAGCTAAATGCTGAGGATGACGTGCAATTTCCAATTCGACTTTCTCTTTGGCTGACTTAAGCTTAGAGCATGTCTTTGCTCATTAACGAAGTCGTGATCTTAATGTGAAATTAAGAATTTAATTTATATGATCTTATAAACAATTCTTCTTAAGCTGAGGCGAGTTTGGTACAGTTCTTCGTTATCGTTGTCGTTGTTTTTGATGTTGTTGGTCGATGGCTGACGTTTCGGCGACTTCGCCTTCCTCAGAGCCATGATGTTACGTGTGGGACTGTCCCAGTCAGCCATCGACCAACAACATCAAAAGCACCGACAAAGACAACGAAGACCTGTACCAACCTCGCGTCAGCTTAAGAAGATCATTTTATAAGATCACATAAATAAATATATCAACTATCTATGCCGAGGTTCATAGAAAGTCGGTCTTTCGAGTTATTAAGAATTTAATATCTGTACAAATTGTTGAGCCTACATGATGTATGGAAATATTTATTTCGGCTAATGTTTCGACGTTTTCATCATCATCAGAGGCGATGGTCTGAGTCGATCCGCAGTTGTTGGTCTTCTCCATGTAGAAGCGTCTTTGTCGTCCGACCGAGGTGGATCTTCTTCAGTTTTAAGGAGAATTCGCCTATTTTCAAAACACTTTTTCCAACAATTTAGGAAAAAGCAAATAGTAGTGGATAGAAACAGAGTGAAATCCTAGAGTATTCCCTCTATTATTTTTTTCAAGCTTTTGTCAATGGTAATGATAACCGATGTTATCATAATTTGG